TTTTTTTTTTTTTTTTTTTTTTTTTTTTTTTGCGCATCTGCGATCAGCGCACTGCGCAGCGGACCTCACGTATGCGCCGCAAGTATGGTTTACAGTACTACGGGTAGACCTTTTTTTCAAAGAAAACCCTTGGTGTTCAGTGTGATTGGAATTCTTGCGCTTAATGGTCACCAAGAAGAATGACTCTCAAGTTCATTCAGCATGTTTTTCTTTGGTTAAAGGTGGTTATCCCATAGATGCTGTGTTCATCTGCATTCAAACGTCTGATTATTTTATTGATGCCGAACCTATGCCGACCATGTTGAAACTGGAATCGAACACGTGACCTTCATGTGTGTACCATGCACTACAGTGACTCAACATGTATGCAGTGCTTATTCCGGATTTTGCACCACATGAAGCTTGTAAGCCTACCTTCTTCTCCCGAAGAGAATGTACGGTCATCCTAGTGGTATCTGGGGCAAATTTCAGTCTAGAATCTAGATGCATTGATAAGGACCATGCGTGCGATTTGGGGGACGGCGGTAGGGAAGAATGAAGCCCACTGTACGTGGTATTTGGGGGAAGGGTAAGAAGAATGAAGCGCAATCCAAGATTCGATCTCGTCGCTGTATGGTGTGTAGGCGATCTGCATGTGTAGGTTTCTGACACCGGTTGTTGTGTCTTGCTGTCTGTATCATCAGCTTAAGCAGCTGTATAGGCTGAGCGATGCAAGTTTTGCGTCAAGAACGGGAGAGAGGCCGTCAAAGATCCCACGAAGAGAGAACCAGGACGGGGCGACTGCGGCGCGGCGCACACCTCGGCCTCCGAAGGATTTCGGTAAAATCGCTGTGAAAGGCGCAAGAAGTGATGTGATTCTCAAGGGTCCTAGATTGGTGAAAGCGAAGCCAGACTTTCTCTCTGTGAGGGCAACGTCGATAACAGCGGAAGAAGCGGCCAGGGTTGCCGCCCAGGCTGTTGCAGAAGCAGAAGCAGCTGCGGCGGCGGCGGAGCAAGCAGCACGAGCTGCGGAGTTGGCTGAGGCAGAAGCGGAAGCCGCAGAAGCGGCGGCAGAAGCTGCCGCGGCCGCCGTTCGACCGCCAAAGAAGAGGACAAATGCAAAGCTAAAGCCTTGACGCAAAATTGACGTGGTCTGTAGAAGAGACCAATCCCAACATTTTTGTTGGCCGCCACGGCAGATGTAAGGCACGAGAGAGAGAGAGAGAGAGAGAGAGAGAGAGAGAGAGAGAGAGAGAGAGAGAGAGTTGGTATGACCTAGTGGGCATGGACATTGCAGTGGGCTGATTTTTTGTCCATTGCAAGCTTAGTACTGATGGCGAAATGCTCAGGACATGTTTGCACTATGGAAGGCTCAGGACAAATTGTTCCTAGCCGATGTGACGACCTCCAGTACAGCTGGCGATCTCATCTTGTGATGATGATGGGGATGGTAGTAGCTGTCGTCAGAATTGGTGGGGATTCTCCCTCCACCCCTCGAGAGCCTTGATATTCCTCTAAAGGTGCACCGGAGACGGATACACGAGAAGAACACTGATGAATGAATGGGCTGTGTAATCCTTGTTCGTTGCATGTGGTCAAAATCGGCGATATCTGGCTCAACAACAAGCCCGATGCCTTGACATCTGCAGCATCTCAACAGCCCGCGTGTATCTTTGTGTGTTGCATCTGCAGCAACACAAGGTCTCATTCCTGAGATTTGGGCCACAGTGCATTTGATCTGCAAGCAGTTGGAGAATGCATTTCAGAGCTTTCAGCAGTTGGAAGGTGGAAGTCACAACATAGCATGTGGATGAGGAAAGTTTGTACCTTTTGCTCCGGTCGACCCTGTGATCAATTGAACCGGCGATCTCTGCCTCAATAACGAGCCCGCCGATGCCTTAGCGTCTGCAGCAGCCGTTACTCAGTATTTCTACATGGGGAAGCTCTGACGAATAAGCTGAAGACCTGAAGCAGGTTCTGGGTATCTGGCCCAAACAGCCTTCTTCTCTACAAGTCATGCGGCAGTTTGTTGCTATTGGATGCCCAAGCAGAAAAAAGTGTGCCGAACGACGAAATGGTCTCTCCGTTTGTTGAGGAGTGCGGGCCTGTCTGCGAATCGGGAAACACACTTGCTTGGTGAGTCTTTGTTCACATGAAGAATTGGAAACAATCTGAAAATTTTGGAGAATCTGACGAAGCATCTGCTGAAGAAGAAATGAACAATCACATGAAGAATCTGAAGAATCCGAATACGATGTGGCTGCTCAATTGCGTGTGCAACCTGGTCAGCTGTTTGCTTGCACTGGCTATCTGATTACAATAGATGCAGACTCTAGCGATGATGAGCAGATTTAGACGCTAGCGATGCTGAGCAGATGCAGACGCTAGTGATGCTGAGCGGATTTAGACGCTAGCGATGCTGAGCAGATGCAGACGCTAGCGATGCTGCGCAGATGCAGACGCTAGCGATGCTGAGCAGATGCAGACGCTAGCGATGCTGNCGATGCTGAGCAGATGCAGACGCTAGCGATGCTGAGCAGATGCAGACGCTAGCGATGCTGAGCAGATGCAGACGCTAGCGATGCTGAGCAGATGCCGACTGCCATCGGCCAGTCGTGTAGCTGTCTGTTGCATTGGCAGTAATGCATCAGGCTGTCGATCGATCGTAGAACTGGGCGTTCGCAACACAAGGATTGGAAAGTTCAGGCTAGATGAAGCAACAATTGGGCGCCGGAGCCGTTTGATTTCACTCGTTATGTAATCACAGCTGACTCTGACGCTGACTCTGACGCTGATGCTGACGCCAAGGTACACCGATCAGGTGAGAGAGGCTATTCACCCCTGTAATCAGTAAGCAGCAGAATGGAAGACATTGAGAAGTGTCATGGTGCCATCCCATTGGCTACCTGCTCATCATCTGACAGTGGACGCTGATGCCAGGAATGCCTAGCAGGTGAGAGTGCGGGATATGATTCGTCACCAATGTGTTCAAGCGGGGGAGAAGGCGTCCGGCAAACGACGGACTCGAAAATGTCGAGAAGTGGCAGTTGGTCGCGTCCCATTGGCCGCCTGCTCATCATCTCTTGAACATCGCTATCTTCGAAACTTACCTATCGGCCGCCTGCTCATCGTCTCTTGTTATATCCCCCTTCTTCTCTCTCCAATCCCTTTTGGATTACTTTGTGAATAGTACCAAACTACTTTTGTCTTTTTTGCCGATGGCGGGAGGCTTAGAGTCCAGATCCTTGTCTTATCCCATACACTGTCATTTTTCTGCCCTTTTATCTTAGTCTGTAAAACCGCCGATTTCCTGAATTTGTAATATAGAAACCCCTTTTTGTTGGTGGAAGAAACCTCCAGAGCACACGATAAATTGTGCACAATACAGAGGTAGGTACCGTGAAAGAAACAAATCTCTCAAATGCCCCCATGGCTGGCAGAAGGATCTCTGAAATGCCTTCATTCACCGTCAGTGGTCAGATCAGATTCTCAGTCATCTGAATATCGCCGCTTTGGACAAAGGGTATAATCCTGCTCTGAGATGCGGGCGGCCTCGGCTTCAAGCAAAGGGTATCCTCGGTTTGATGGAATGGACGGCGCGGTGTAGGATGAAATGATGAGGGAGGCACTCCTACTCCTAATTTCCTAAAGAAGAACAGGTGTTGGTTCCGATCAAACCCAGTTAAGAAATTGCAGTTATAACATGCCATGTGCCAGGATGCTTCATGAAAGCGTGCACATCGCGTGCGCGCTAGCATCACTCTTTGAGAGATGCACGGATCCCGTAGAGGATGTTGTTAAACATGGCCTGTCAAGTGACAGGCTATCTTGCACATTTGTGATTTATGGGCCAGCATGACTTCTTTTGTGGTCTTTGCGGCGTTAAAGGCCACAATGTGGTCCTCCTTATATGGCCCGAGAGGGAAACATTTTGTGGCCTTTGAGAATGATTCACCGCAGGGATGCTGTTGATGAGAGTAAATTACTAAAGCATGTCTAGTTTTACTCACAACTGATACTCCCAATGAACAAAATCCTGTAATAACAGGGTTGTCAAGCCCCGGCCCCGGGGCCCCGGCGGGGGTGACGGGGGTGCGGGGATCGGGGGGTGGGGGGCCCCCCCTCCAAAAAAAAAAAAAAAAAAAAAAGCAGTGAGAGCATGCACCCCATGGGCTAAACCCCGAAAATGGGGTTTTGTGCCCCACCGCGGACCCATCATGGGGCCACACCCACCAGTGGTGGGACTGGGGTAGCCGTGGGTGCGGGGCCGGGGGCGGGATGAGTGGTGGCAGGGACGGGGGTGCGGGGCTGGGGCTGGACCTGTATCACTAACACAAAGTTCTCTCTCTCTCTCGCCGGCCCACCTTTCCCCGGTGTGGTCATTGCATGGACTTGTGTCGGTGTTTGCATGTGGCAGTGTACTTCTCTTACCTTGCATGTCCCTTGGTCTTTCCTCTCTCTCTCTCTCTCTCTCTCTCTCTCTCTCTCTCTCTCTCTCTCTCTCTCTCTCTCTCTCTCTCTTTTGCACCCCATGTGTGTGCAAACATATGCATAATTCTGTGCTTAGTAGCGGAAACCACATTGTGGTGATTATCGATGATGATGTCTGGTTATCACACAGTGACACATCACTCTGTACTTTAGTGACTTGCCCCTCTTGGGTAATTTATATTGTAGGCGATGCGGCGACAGAGAAATAGGTGACGTTGATACTGTCTTTTCAGCATCAAATGTGGCGGGTGCTGCCTCCTTCACTGTAGCATGGGGCCACCTTCCGGTTCACCTGTTCTGCGATTCCTCCTTGTCTACAGTTCCTTGCTCCTCGCCGTGGAACAAGGAACAGGGTAAGGGGAGAAGTTACTGTTGGCCAGAGGAAAGTCGCCGCACGTTTGTTTGGGTGCCAAGAGCACACATACGGCGGTTCGTGCCCTGGACCCCCATCCTGGTTGGTCTTCCGGTGCTTGATTCGTACATTTTGGTCCCTCAAGCATTAGACTCTTGACTCTTGAGTTACATATCCAATAACTTAGCCATAAATATCAGATAAAGGATTGGTAAAATATGCGTATGAACCGGAGTTGTCCCTCTTAGTAGCATTATGATTCATCCAGAAAGATAAGGAGTGGTCCGTGGATGGAGAATGGATGGGTGAAAAGGATGGGTGAGAAGGAGTGGTCCAGAAAGGATGGGCGAAAAGGATGGGTGAAAGATAAGGAGTGGTCCGTGGACGGAGAACGGATTACAGATCTATCGATCCGTAGAAAGTGCGAAAGGATTCACTCTGGAAGATTCTGGTGCGTCAGCGTAATTGTTTTATGCCGTCTTCATTCCAGTTAGTCGGCACTGCGACTAGAGATCCTACAATCGTAGCAAATTTCTGTCATGCCTCCCCGTCTCAAAGGCCCAACCCGGCTCCCTCCCTGTCGTCCTCCTCATTTCTCGGGTCGGTTTCCCTCTCTTCTGTGATTGGACATGCCTCTTTGACCTACCGTCTTCACGCGAATAGAACACATGGTCATATATAGCTGTATTTGGTGCAACTTTCAGTCCATATGCAGTGATAATGACCGGGCGTTCGATTCGGGTGAAGACGGTAGTCTTTCTGTTCTGTGATTGGGAGAGCAGTAGGATCCCGGCCGGGTCCAATTGACTTGAATCGTATGTTGGTTGTTCCTCCTCCTTGGGTCCATGTTGACAAGGTGATGTCCTTGGGAAGGGGTCTGCAGGTATAAGGGACCTGCGAGAAGAGAGATTGGCATTTGCTTGACGAATCGCCCACCGTCTAGCCCATAGAAAGTTGTAGTGCCGATTTCTTCTGACTTGGAGGAAGCTTATCTGACTATCTTTTTTCCTTCTCAATCACCTGTCGTCTTCCTTGATCTTTCCTTAGCAATCACCCCTAAAGAAAAAAAAAACGAAGCAATCACCTCTCTCTCTCTCTCTCTCTCTCTCTCTCTCTCTCTCTCTCTCTCTCTCTCTCTCTCTCTCTCTCTCTCTCTCTCTCTCTCTCTCT